TACAAAGTTTTACAAACATTTGATATACGATAGTATTCGTTTTTGTGACAAAACATTTAAATAATAGTCAATATTATCAAAGTTTTTTTTAACCTTTTTAACATCATAATAAACGTATGCTCAGTATATCATGACACTAACTTTATTAAGAGCTCAAGAAACTTAAATTATCATAGTTTTCTTCAGCATTGTTATATACATAGTATCGATACTATTTGTTGTTGTTGTTGTTGTTTTATCTTAATTACAATTAAAAAAACTTACTTTAAGTTAAAACAAATTAGTTACATACAACTGATAACTTGTATATTTTGGAATGAAGTGATACGGATTTATTGTAGAAAATTTGTTTATTATATACATAAAAATGAAATATTGAGAAATATTGATGAAACAAAATGCGTACAGTCCAACCCCGTTTATTCGAAGTGCCTGGGACTGAAAATTTACTTTGAATAATCGATATGTTCGAATAATCAAAATCGGAATATTGTGATAGACGAAAACTACTCCACTTTTACCAGTCATAGCAAAACTACCGTTTACAACACTTACTTCCAGCAATCAATTGAGAAAAATAAATATTAAAGAAAAAATGCGTAAAAAAATTGTATTGACATTGAAGACATAAATACATTTTATTCTTCATTATGTATCGTTTCGTTTTGCTCAAAGCCTTGCATGATAATGGCCGTGTTGCCACTACGGTATTTACAGCTTAACTTTAGAGTAAAGGCTCTCATGTAGCGTTACAATTAATGAAAAAAATGTTTTGGATGTTTTGACAAATTCACATATACGGTATGTATGAAAATTATTACTGTCATCTTCAATAACAGTAACAAAATCGGACACGGGGCATAGCTTTTCATTTTCGGTAATTAAAGTTGATTATAGAACACACAAAGAGTAATTATCATGATTGTCTAAATACACGCATGACAGTTGATATTTTTCACAAGTCGACCGGTCAGCGATTGGAACGCGCCAATAAGCCTGGCTTCGATTAATAATTAGGCTGGCTTCGAATAATAGGTGTGAAATTCTTTCATAATTGTATAATCCGGACCGAAATTTTATTTTGAAAAATAGGAGGTATTCGGATAATGCATTTCGAATAATTGAATTGAATACGCTTGCATTTATATTGATTTATAGAGAGATAAAAACGGGACCGCCGATCTACTTCGGATAATGCCGGGTATTCGAATAAAGGGTAGTCGAATAACCGGGGTCGGACTGTATTTTCATTTTCCGTATTTTCACTGTAAAAAAATATTTTTCACTATAGTGAAACATATTTTCCGTATTTTCACTGGTGTCTTGCCGGGGAGTCTTTAAATTGTAATTTCAAAAAAAGAAAGGAAAGTATACAATAAATAGAAAATTCAAGTTTTTTCCTATAAATACATGATTTGTTTTCACTTTGTAGTATGAAATCATCATATTTCACTCGTGGCTACCGCCACTCATGAAATATTTATTTTGATACCACTCAATAAAATTAAATCCTGTATTTATAGAAAAAAAATTATATCCTCTATTCATTATAATGAAGAGACAAGAATTGCAAAATAATTTTATAAAATTATAAACAATCATAATAACATTATTAGATGTCTTGATCAAAAAATATAAAAATAAACAGCGTGACTTAAAATTTGACTTTACTAACTATTTTAAGATAAAGAGACACGGCGGTTGGTTAATATATAATGCAATATGAAGTATATTTTTCTTATGTAGTCGTGATTCTCTTGTGTTTGTTTAAACTATGTTATGCTTCAAATCATCTGCTTTCAGATGATACCAGGATCATGCGTGTAGTGAACCGGTTAAGAATTTCATTCACATTTAAAGAAAACATTGCTTGAGCAAATAACTTCATGTAAATTATGTCTGGTAAACGCTCAGAGAAAAAAAGAGTTAAATATGGGCTTACATAAAAGCTCGACCAAAACTCATGATATTTGTAATATCTTTGGCAAACATGAAGTATCTTATGCAACTGTTTCGAGTAGGATGCATAAATTCTATAATGGGCACGAGTCGGTTATAAATGGCTGTAAGTCTGATAGAAAACGCTGCAAAGTTACTGAATAAAAGATCAATAAGAACCAGTTTATCTTTGACAAAGATGTAAGACTTTTTCATACCCAGAAAGCCCATACCGTAGATATATCAAAAGGGTCAACTCAGGCGAATCTGAAGAATGACTTGGAAGTTAGATAACTGCCAGGTGATTACCCTACTTGGTATCATCTAATCAGAAGAAGGAGCGAGTAAAATGCGTTTGAAAATACTGAAAATGTTTCCTAAATAAGACAGTCGCCGTTTTTTGTTGTTTTTTTAATATTGTGACTGGATAAGAAAGCTGGTTTCACTAATTTACGCCAGTTCATATGTGTAATAATAAGATTTGGGCGAACAAAATTGTTTGTCGACCATGCACTGCCAACTTGACAATTGCCGAGAAAGTTATGTACGTTATTTTTTTCAATACCCGTGAAACTGGTGTCATCATTCCTGTTTCTAGAGGCCGTACTGTCATATGCAAATATCATAGAGATGTCGTGTTAAGAAAAATTGAAAATCATTATAATAGAGTTCGTCCTTCTACTAATATCAAAGGCCAGTATTTTCTGCATGACAACGTTCCTGCTGACAAATGAGTTACTGCAATTGATTTTATTTGATAAAAAATGAGTGTCTCCCCTTGAACATCCATCGTATTCTCCAGATTTGGCACCCTATGACTTATAAATCTTTCCTAGATTTACAAATATACCTAAGTGTATAAATATTATTAGGTATACATAAGGAGGACAGTGTTGAAGCATTCAAAATTGGGTTAATCAGCTGATACTTTGACAGGAGATTATTTCGATGGGTTGAGATAGGAAATTGTAAAATATTTACTCTTTTATCAAATTTATTTATCGTATTGCATTACATATTGGCCAACCCTCGTTAACTCGGTTAAACCTTATTTTCAAATGGTATAAAGAATCAACTTTAATAATGAATAGTTTTCTATAACCTTTGATGCACTAATTACATTGGATAAAGAATATTTTTGAGTCATCCAGCTAAAATGAATAAACTATTAAAGGGACGTGTGTCAGGGTCAATGTTTTAAATTTTATTGTTAAACATATTTGTTTTATAACTAAGGTGGACATGAATTATATTTTTACTTTTGCGACATTAGAACATGTTCTTTTACATTTACCTTGTCCTACTTGAAAGTTTAACCGAGTGAAAAGCACAACAGACCATAATGTGTAATTAATAACTCAATTATATTGTTAAGAATCTATTTGTTTGTTTAAAAACACATTTTTCATTTAAAAGGAAGCAAAATAGTTCAATACATTGATTAGTCCGTCTTTGAAGGCTTCTTAAATAACTTAATTCTAGACAAATCATAGGTTTCAATATAAACATAATTAATAGTAATTTGTCATACAACCTTGTCATTTCCGGTTTCTAATCAATTCAAATGCGGTTGCGAATATGAAAAGGAAAATTTTGTTTTGAAAGTGCACATATATACATAATAAAAATATTTAAATTTGACCTTGTAACATCAAGTGTTGACGGAAATTGATGACTCTCCATGTGTCTTACGCAAATCAGTTTTGATAAGTTCATAGGAAAATTAGTAGAATTAGTCAAAAGTAAAATCCCACTTTTATAATAAGAGAAATTTATGACAAATTGCCCCTTTGTTGTAGACAATGCTATACCACTTGATTAAATAAAATTTTAACAATGCCAAACAACTTTGCTTTGAAAATATGAATAACAGTTTCATGGACGATTAAAAATCAGATTTATTTTATTCAAAGTCGTATTCAATATCTGAAAACAATTCTGATTGTTTTGTCCTGTACTTCTATGATTTTTTTTTTCACTAATCAAATTTCGTCAAGGAGATTTTCCAATGTACTCATTAAATAGCATATCCTTTGCTGAAATGCATCACCTAATGAAGACAGCAAATGAATCATATCTCTATTTTATGAAAAGAATGTTCTTTTTGTATGCCAAACAATGTCTCCCTTGTAAAAAATAAGTATGCAGAGGAATTTTAATTGTAATTATTGTGAATATGTCTTTTGCAAATTAAGTTCAATATTTATTTATTCATATAGGTATATTGGTTTTATGATATGCATTGTTTTCTTTGGTATTTTTAATTAAAACCGTCACAAATTATTTTCCGTCATATTGTAAAATAAAAGCTATAACCTATGTAACTAAATACGAAACTATTTATGTATTGTTTTCATGATACTATGATTCATCATCATATATCCAGGAGATAAAAATATTAAAAGCAATATCTATTTTTAAGATGCGGTTTATACGAATTTTTGAGTGGGATGCGCCTATTGCATTTAATATGCATTTTTTTTTAAAAGTTCATAACTATTTGAATTTTGAAACTTCTGGAAAAGCAGTTATCATCCAAAATAGATGACTACATTGGAGACTCTGCAATCATACCCGGAAAATATAATTTGAACAAAGTATAATCATAGTAAGTTATAGCAAAGTAAAACTTCTCTTTAATATATGATTCGCAGATACTGTTCATACTATTGGCATGCAAGCATTTGTTTGATTCATAACGTATCCAGGTATTTAGAGTTAAACCCGGTCACATTTCACTCTTAGTTCTAGTGGCCCGTTCAAACGTTATTTAGTGGTTAAGTAGTGAATTAATGCCGTCTGTGTTAAAATAACAAAATAAAGTAAATAGGCCACTGATACTTAACACGATCTTTATTGTTTTTTGTTTCTACAAGGGGCTAAACAAGTTTGTGTTAAGTAAACTAGGATAGACGGATTGGGCGATCTTGAGTTCACAAATAAACGATTTAAACTTTATGAAAAGACTATTCTAACTTCGTTTGGGATCCACTCCTTATTAAAAAAAACATGCTGTGCGGAAAGAAAACGAGCAGCCTCTTTCATTTATAGTCATTCTTTATTCATCAGCATAGGAAACAGCATTCATTGACACATTTTATTCTTTTGAAAGTTGCATTTATTATCTCTGCAAGAGTAGCGTTAGGAAATCGTTCCAGGTAATCCGCAGCTGTAAGTCTGATTATCATTGTTACAAGATTTGGTAACTGCCGATCCTGACGTGACATTTTATGTCCTAGGTGAACTGGTGTCACCTTAAACAAATGTTTAAGACAAAATTTAGGATCTCTACCAGCGGAACATCTAGATTTCAGTAATAACAATTGTGTTTCTACACAGTGCCGCCAGATACCAAAATTAGCAAACGGCTCGGGATGTATTGCTGCGTAGTTCAAACAAGCTGCCAATTTTGGAAGTCTGTAAATCACATATGCACCTTCATCAATCAAAGAAGACAAGAAGGCAATCAGTTCATGCTTTTCATGACCATATATTCTTCCGGCTATTAAATTTTTCTTTGGCATTATGTAACTTGGTAAGTGATTACATATCAAGCAACACTTTATGAAATTCAAACTTTGAATAAGACAATCAATTAAAAAGGATGGTGTACAGAGATGGCTTGAATTGATTTCTGCCATCCAAAGAACAACATTTTTCACCATGTATGACGAAAAAGATTTACTGACTTGTGCAAAAACCTGTTTGGAGAACAATTTTAATAACACATAAAGCTTGTGTTGGGTGCTATTCAAATTTTGTACTAACGTTCTCTCTGCAGTTACATACGATATTCGCCATTCAATATGTTCAGTTTCGCTCTGCTTTTCGCCAATCGGAAGTATAAATCCTTCCATATCGGAAATCTCGTGTATCAGATCTTTTGATGGCCAGTCGTAGTTTCTTGCTCTTGAAGACCACTTTGGCAATGTACTTGCATTGTAAAAGGGTATAGCATGCACAGTGTCATGCTCAAGCTCAAATAACAACGTCGAAGACGACCCGCTACTTATCCTACATTGAGATTTATGCGTTATTGCAGGGCCATTTATTCCCTGCTTATATCCTTCCATAGTGTACAAACCACCTTCGCATTGACTAGCTGGCGATGCAAAGTTATCAAACATTCCTTTTGTGTGTTTTAAGAATTTGTTTGATATGTAAGGAGCAGTTTCTAATGAAGATCCGTGCCAATATGATCTCGGCAAGAACATAGATGCTGTTGAGCTTTCGTTACATTGTCTATTAGTATGTCCTTCTGTAATTCTGACGTACCCAGGTAGCATATTTTCATATTCTGCTGCTAACACTTCAAATGGACAATTTGGATCTGGGTTTAATTTCTCCTTATCTACACAAATGGTATCTGTCAACACTATCATTACGTCATTATCACTGAAACTATGAGGCACGGTGCCCTCCGATGTACTTCCAGTGTATATGCAATCAAATGAATTATGTGTGTGTTTCAAACATTCTGAGAAAAGCAATTCAGACTGTCTCGCAGTTTCTATTCTCTTTCTTTTTATTTCATCATTTATACCCGCTAGGTCAATCACGGAGTATACATAGTTTGAAAACTTTCTATTATCCATGCCTAATATCTATTGCTCTGTAAAAGGAAAATGAAATGGCAGTATAAATTTACAACTAAATAGTGAAACTTTTTCTGAAGGTATGGCGACTGAAACACTCATAGTCAAAAGCATCAATAGAGGCTAAAATGACTCCTTCATAATTTTAAAAATAACTTTCTATGGTACATGTTCGTTTGAAAGGTGATTATTTCATATGATACTCTTCCGTAATCAATTACGACAACAAGATAAATGGAGCCATTCTTAGATAAATTATTCTATATAATTATTTAACAATTCTTTATTTCCTTAATGAAAATTTTGTTGTTTACCAGGTACAATACAAAAATAATCAAAATCATTCCCGTCTGATTATTTGATTTCGCCTCAATAATGCCTGAACTATCCGAACAAATGCTGTGTCTGCACTATCAAAACTTGGTGCTCGTACTAAGATTTATTTAATTTTTGGTAAGTTGAAACATTGCTAATTGACTAATGTTGAAAGTGAGTGAATATTTGACCAAAATGTAAATAATCAAGTTACTTAATTTAGTGAAAGAATATCAGTAATAAAATTACTAACCTTTATTAAGTAGAATTTGCTATAGAATTGTCAAGGGTTATCCCTGCATTACTGGAATTCGCAATTGAGCTTTGACAGTTGATGTCAACAATTCCCATCCTTGTCGAATAGACAATGTGGCTCGGAAAATAATAAAGCTCAATTTGAAACAAGGAAAATTTAATAAAACTTCAATCTTCCTTTAACTGTTTTATTTTGTAAATCAAGTGGTAACAATTAACTTTTAAATAACTTGCCTATTGCTTTCTTGCTTCTAACTTATAAAAAAGTTCATTGTATATCAATCAGCCATATTGTTATTTTTCAAGAAATTTATATGCAAAAGTGCATTCACATAGAATCGTCTTGGTGTATCAATTACAGAGCAGATATCTGAAGTAAAATAAAATCTATAATCACGGCAAAATATATATAAGTATAATATATATATAAGTATTTATCACATAATACGCGGCGCAGGAGTGTAATAAAGCCATTTAATAAAAACGATATTACACTAGTGTAATAACACTTTGACGTGACGTCATTTGCGCTGTATATATACATAGCGTTAAAGCGCGCTAATGTTAGCGTTACACTACAGGCGCGTCATTGAAAAATTACTCATTTTAACAGTTTACTGTTCTTATTTTATATATGTGATAAATAGAATATTATATTCGTGTAGATTCAATACTAAATTTATTAAACTCGTTGAATAAAACAATATTATGCTCGCCAGAGGCTCGCATAATATGATTTTATTCAACTCGTTTAATAAATTTAGTATTAAACTACACTCATTCAATATCCTCTATATATTAATACCAAATATTAAAAGAAAACGTAAAACTTTAACTTGCTTAGCTATCCCTTCAAAGGTATCAAAACATTTATAATTGCATAACATATACATGTATATTATTATTCAAATGGGTTGTTCTTCTTTTTTTCACGGAATATATTCAAATGAAAATGCTTTGATGACCATATTGAAACTGATCTTCAAGGTAACATTGAAGATCCAATTGACGGGTGAATTAATTAACGGTAGATATTTTTCTTTAATCATTGTAATAGTTTTGCTAATAAATAATTACAATGTAAATCGGAAAAGCATCCTTTCATTCTTCTTTCACACTATTTGTATCCGTTTTGTATGAACTTAACATTTTGGATATTAATATTCATATAAGATTTTGATTTTTATGAATCGTTTGTATATTTATTTCTATTTGTATATAAATGAGGCAACATATTTAATCTTTTGTCCAGTGCCTGACAGTAAAACAAGAGCTAGGATTATGAAGAAATAAACAAAAAAGAAGATTTCATTCAAAATGCATAGCATAGTAATGAGTTTTGGATATTGGCCAACTAATATAAAAGGCAATATTTTATTCCAAAACGCATTCCAGAATTAGTTTGCAATTATAGTCTCGAAAACATAAATTACTTTTTCAATGAATACCATCAGTAGGTTCTAAAGATAAATGGTGCACGTAAATTCTAAACCATGAATTTTTCAGTCAAATTCCATGTCACAGTTATAGGCCATTGGACAGTGATTTTGAGTAATGGCCAAAAGGCATGTATCACGTTTCAAGTGAATATATCTAGAGAATTGTCTTTCACGCTTAACTTTAATTTAACCAAGAATTTTCAAATTTCTAAAAGACAGTAATATATTTAAATTCCAAGTCAAAGTTTCGGGTTTTAGAGAATGACTTTTAATGATGATCCCAAAGACAGGGGTTACCAAAATTATTTATTTGTCATAACTACTAAGGATTAAAATCATATTATTATAAGCTAATTTGCTTTTATTTCTTCAAGCAAAATTGTATCATTTATGAACCGTTGCGTCAGTAAGTCTCTGCAAAACAAAGATGATAACTTAATAGGTAAGTCAACGTGTTCCATAACATTTTCAAGTTTGTGATTTTCGAAAGGGGTTTCAAGAGTAACTCAACGTTGTTTACTCTTTTTGGGTAATGTATTTGAGATAGAAGCTGCTAGGTGTACAATATTAATCTTTTTTAATATGATTGCGAGTGTATTTCAATTTCAACCATTTAAATCAGACCATGTTTTGTCTACTAAAATCTATACCCAGGCAAATATATTAGACAGAATTCGTTCCTTGTCACTCATAGGCTCAATATACTGAAGATATGAAAGTAAGGTATATTCAAACATAATCACAAACCCATTATCTGATTCACTTGTGTAAAAAATGCAGCACCCAATCAAGTTGAACAATTGGAGAGAGAGATAAAAGACAAAAGATTACTGTTTGCCTCCAAAGAAGTACTGAATAGAACTTACACAACATGTAGACGCGTCAAGAATTTGTGAGGTTTACCTTAATTAATTTCTTAAATTTCCAATATATATATAGAAATTATAACTTTCTGATTAAAGCATTGCAAATTTGTATTTAAGTCGTATATTTTCCATATCCCCTTACTACGAATGCATTAATTTCTGTTTTAATGGGAAATGAGACTATATACATGAACAGTTAGTTACGTTGTTGCATTCTTGTAACAGACCTGGTATTTCCCTCATTGTATCGAATATGGAAAGTCAGTCGCAATTGTAATGTTTATTGATCTATCAAAACTATTTATTAGCAGTCTTACGGTTTCCTTTATGATGATTGGGCTGAAAAAGTCATTCATGGTTTGAGATATTATGGCTTCTATTAATTAAGTAATACCTGCTGGTTTAGTTGTCTGTAACGTCTGTTTTTATGTTACCACGTATAAATAAAAAAAAGATGGGACATATAACGTGATCAAGGATAGAGGGCATGGCATAGGAGATGCATAAATTAGCATAAATTAGTTGACTGTCCGTACGAGTATTAATATAATGTAAGCATGAGTAGTAAAAAAGTTTTCTATAAATTCATTAGTTTGATCGAAAGGGTAGCAAAGCTCAAGACTTTGTAATATAGTTTGTACACAATTTATAGTTCACTATATCTACTAAAAATTGTTCAAAAATATGATCATTAGATAAATGACAAATTATATTGTATATATCTCCTGGAAAAAAAACTTTAATATAAACAAACGTTTTGACTGTCTATCACTTTTTCATTTGAGTATATCGCTCTACGTACAAGAAAACTAATAACAATAAAAAAGAAAATTTCGTAAATATAATTAAAATACTCAAATGAATTGCATATTTCTTGATGTCCTGAAAAATCTGTAATATAACAAACGTTGATCTGCATGTTGTGGGCAGTGAAAATGAAGCAAAGTCTGATGAAACAGGTGCGAAGAGTTTGTGGTCAAATTTGCGTTCGCAATGAATATTCCGTCAGGTCTTATATTTCAAAGAAGAAAGAAATACTGAACTTCGCGGTTTTAGTATCTACTCGTTGATATATTATCAGCTTATATATTACTAATTGATTTTGATCTATTATATAATAATATATGACTTTATTATTTAGATGACACTATATCAACATTATGCAGCATGCTGTGCTATACTTTGACATGATATGTTTATAAATGTTTATAATTATATGGTTATAAATGGAAGGTTTACCTACAGTATTGTATCAGCTGCAAGGAACATTTCATAGAAATTTAAAAAAAATAATATGTTTTTGTTATATTTTTCTTTTTGATTTTAAGTTATGTTAACTATCCTATGATAAAAGTTTTTTCCTTTAATCATCAACTTGTACGACATAAAAATTAATGAAAATTTAAATAACTGTTCGATATAAACAATGCAACCTAACTTTAGAATATAAGATTTGGTTATACCTTTCAAAACAAACCAAAACTGAAGACAATCACAATTGTCATTATATAATCGTGAAAATTAAGGAGAGAGTTTCTAAACAAGATTCAGCTTTCTACCCAATCTTTGTATTTATTTAGATGTTTTTAATTTCTGTGTCTTATGTTTATCATAAGCCGCGTAAAGATTAATTATGCATACCATTTAAAATCTCATTAACTTTTTATTATTTTCATCTTTTTTCTTCAAACGTCATAATGGAGCAATATAAAATTGAGCGGTGATGTCACCACGGAGTAATAATCTGTTTAGATAACCACGATTTCCTGATAATGTTTTGTCCCAGTTCATTGATCGTTTCACATTCATTTTTGTTTGCTGCTCTTATTTTATTTCTTTTCATCCTTTTTGTTTCGTTTTCATCTTTGATTTTCCTGTTTCCATGTTTGTTTTATGTTGTTCTTTTTCCTTTTATTTATTTCTGTGTGTTCCTATTGTGTTGATAGTTTGGCTTCGCTGTGTTATTTTTCTTTGCTTGCATTTTTAAGGTTTTGTTTTATGGAGGCAGAGGGCACACTGCTGTGATTCCAAGAACAATTTTCATGTACATTCTTCATTTTATTGACACATAACAAATCAAACTATAACAGTTTGTATGAGGAAACTAACAGTAAATATCGTTCACATTCCATAAGAATGACATTATACTCATCTAATCGGATAAAGTGAATGAAAAGCTGAAAGTTAAAATAAGTTTATATTTGGCCATAATTTCTTTCGATTTTAAAATTTACTAAGCATGAACTTACGTGGCCCAATGAAATGTCCATAAATACCCATCGGAATTTACCTGTAATATTTAATTCACAAAGAGAGTGGGGCAGACGTTAGATATATATTTTATGCTACACATAATCAAATATTAACTGTTGGTCAATCATCATTGTATTAGTAAATCTTTTGAAATATATAGTCACGTCAGCTTAACTTGACAATGGAAAATAAGCATAATGTTTCTTTGACATTTTATTTTTTCATCTTTAGCCAAAATTTACTAGTTAAACAAATCGCTTAAAAATCTTCCAAAATCACAGGATGACAATACAATCGTGGTTGTGGAATAATGGTTTGAATTTCGGGGCAATTCTTCTTTGTATGCTAAATAGAGACAGAGAAAGATTTTATATTAGAATATCCCTTATGAATTCTTGATTTGGAAAATTCAAATTATGAATAATTCTGATTTTGCGTTTGCTCCCAGTGGGATATTGATACAAGCTTTATGGTAAAGTAACAAGGCGTCATATAGGATTATTAATGGGAAGACGATATTTTAGCAATGTTAGTGCATCACGCAAGATTTGAAGATGATTTAGTTGCTCT